ATTTAATTTCCTTTAGCCATATACCCAGAAGTGGGTATTGCTGGATCACATGGTAGTTCTATTTTTAATTTTATGAGGAAAAAAATTTTTTCCACACACCATTGCCAGCACTTTTGTCTTTTTGACAATAGCCATTCTAACAGGTGTGAGGTGATATTTCACTGTGGTTTTGATTTGCATTTCCCTGATGATAGTGCTGTTGAATATCTTTTCATGTAGCTATTGGCCATTTGGATATTTTCTTTCTGTTTTTCTCAGACCTCCTATGGATACACCTTCTCCACACTTCTTGCTGCCTATTGTGGCAGAATTCTTAAGCTTGTATGCTTTTTTTTTTGCGGTATGCAGGCCTCTCATTGTTGTGGCCTCTCCCATTGCAGAGCACAGGCTCTGGACGTGCAGGCTCAGCGGCCATGGCTCACGGGCCCAGCCGCTCTGCGGCATGTGGGATCTTCATGGACGGGGGCACGAACCCGTGTCCCCTGCATCGGCAGGCGGACTCTCAACCATTACACCACCAGGGAAGCCCTGTATGCCTTCTCTTGATCCTGCAGTGCACCAGGCTAAGTACTGAGAGCTTTCCTAAAGGAAGTGCAGAAGCTTAACTTTGTCGTCTCTCCTTGGCCTATGGATAGATTCAGGCTGGCTTTTTGGGCCTGCTCGCTAGCTGTCTGCCAAAGTCTGCTCTCCCTGCCATGGGGAGTGCACACGAGGGGCTGGCCGTGGGGTGGAGGAGGTGCCTGTGGGGGTGAGGTGCCCATGGGCCAGTTGAGGGGGATCCATGGGCAGGGTGTCTTGGCAGCTTGTGGTCAGGCCTCCTGGTGGAGTCAGTCATGTAGTTAGTAGGATCTGCATCCCTGTGATATGTTCAGAGTCCTGGCCGCCGTTCTTTCAGCCACTTCCCATCCCCTGGTCGTGCAGCTTACAACTCAGTTCTCTGGATAGAGTGAGAGAGAAACAGACCTCTTTAGCAAGATCCTGCACAGCTGGGGAGGCCAGAGACTCACTCACGTGCTCTCACTTTCCGCTGTGCAGAAATCATGTACAGAGAGGGTTTCTCTTGGCCCTGAGCTGTGCTGCCTTGGGGGAGGGATGAGGTGGGTAAAGGGAAACTGTTCCTCTTACACTCGCCAATGTGTCTGAAGTTGGACTTTTATGCTCAAATGGTGTGTTTGGAGCTTCTCTGTTGGACTCCTGGACTTCCACAAAGGCTCTGTCATTCATGGGTGACTGTCTAAGTCATTGTTCTCCAGGGGCTCCCAGACTGTGTCCGAGAGGGGCTGGAGCCAGTTCACGGGCCACTTCAGGGTCCACAGCCAGGACTGAGGTCTGTATGCTTCTTACCCTGTGCATGGGTGGGCTAGACTCCTTCTGGGTCTCTTGGTGTATGATGCTGGATCCTACAGCTCCCACAAAGGCACTTTTGTCCATAGAGGATGCCAAATTGTTACTGTTGAAGGGGGAATACGAGTGGGGGATGTCTTACTCAGCTGACATCACTCTGGCCCATTCTTGAGGACCCAGAAAGTTTTAGACACTCTAGTCAGAAACGTAAGGCAACTTTGTGTGTCTGTTTGGTGCTGGGTTATATAGGAGCACTGTGTACGCAGGTCAGTGATTGCAAGCTGCCTTCACTACATAGAGTTATATAAGGTTAAGTTCGCTCCTTGTGATGATGTACTCTTAAAATATTAAAATTTACTAGAAAAAAGCCAGAAATCTTTCCCCTGATTAAATCATCTTTTTGGCCTTACTCATGAATCAAGTCTTAATATCCTCATGTTTACTTCTGACGAGAGAATTCCCAAGAGGTAATTTCTTATCCTGAAATGGTTCTTTTATTATTATTATTTTTAAATCTTTTGCAGTTACATCCTGTCTTTTGAGGATGGTCTTCCTCTTTCTTTGACATATATCTTGCCTTTCTCTACTTTCTCTATATATTTCATTTCATCAGACTCTGGTCACAGACTCCAGTCTAATGCTCAGATGTGCCTTCCTCTATTTCATTTTTTGACCAAAGTCACACTGGCAAAAATATTCACTAGTATTGCGCCATCCACTTTTCATCACTTCCCTCTTAACTTTCTAGATTCTTTATTTCTAATCAAATTTAGCAGAATGATACCATTTTTGGTTCATGTTGTTATTTTAATTGATTCTCATTCTTCCTTTTCTGGCTATTTGTATTTCATTACAAATTATGTAATCATCTTTTGACAGAAGTGATTCACACTTTTATGGATTTTAAAAATACATTGCACTACAAAACATGGCACGGCCAGAGTTTCAATAGTAATAGAACCACCTGTTCTGTTAAGGGGTTAAGGGAGTGAAAAAGGGATCTTGAAGTATGCTGAGACTAATAACAGTGAGAAGCCATTCCCATCCATTGGATTGTAGGGCAAGGGGAGGAAATGCAATTACCAGAGCCCAGTGAGAGCTGAAGTTGCAATTGTAGAGGGACGCAGCTACGTCTGCAGTATTGAGGCTTGGAGGGAACTGGGAAGAAATACCGAAACCTCTCACTCTTCCTGTCCTTTGATCTTCTGCTTCTAAAAGTGTAAACTCAGACAGAAGACAGCTGGTAAGGGAGCAGGGTGATGAAATTATCAGGGAAGAGAAGGAGCTAGGGTGGTGGCAGATGAAAATAGCCAGCAGGATGGCCCACTTAAAATAGGACCTAATTAAAAGAGCATGAACAAGGTAGGAAGTGTTGGTGTCACTGAGTTCCACAAAAGAAAATTAGTTACTTGACTTAGTGCTTTTAGTTTAGAAATAGTAGATGAAACTGAGAGTATCTCCATATATATGCAGTGGTCTACTATGCATTTGTCACTAGAAGAGGGAATAAATTGGGTCATGCTCAGTGATTTCTTGCCTCATGTTCCCTCCCTTGTGACTAGGAGAGTGTGCTGTCTAAGGCTTCCTCACATGGACCCTTGATGGAGAGACAAGGGGAAGTGTGTAGGCAAAGCATACAAGACTAATTAGGTCATGACATTGGGTTGAGTCCCTCCGTAGGCTAGTAGGTTGTTTAGTTCCTGGCCATGGACTGAAGTGTAGGTAGCCACCTTAAAATTGTGTGCTTTTGTTTAAAAATCACATTAGGCTTGAGAGTATATGCCAGTGAAAATTCACTACCCTTGGCAGGAATCTCCTGGAAGAGTGGGGAGAGGATTCTGTTCAGAGTTTCTTAGTTTTCATGGGCTTCATTTTGTTTATAGCTCTTCCATGAATTCTAGTCTTCAGGCAGGTTTATGCTTGTGGAAAATTTCTTAAAGGTTCCAGTTGATGAGAAATATAATGATTTAACAACTAAAGAAGTATTTTAGAAACTCAGGCTGGAATAATACAACCAACACATGATCAAGCTGCATCCTCTACTGAGGAGCTTTTAAAAGTACCATGTCTAGGTCCTACCCTCAGACCAGTTAAGTTAGAATCTCTGAGGTGTGGGGTGTGGGCATTGGTGTCTTTAAAAAGCTTACATGTGATTTTTTTAAAAAATTTATTTATTTACTTTTTTTTTGTTGTTGGCTGCATTGGGTCTTCGTTGCTGTACGTGGGCTTTCTCTAGTTGCAGCGAGCGGGGGCTACTCTTCGTTGCGGTGTGTGGGCTCTCATTGTAGTGGCTTCTTTTTTTTTTTTTTTTTGCGGTACGCGGGCCTCTCACTGTTGTGGCCTCTCCTGTTGCGGAGCACAGGCTCCGGATGCGCAGGCTTAGCAGCCCTGGCTCACGGGCCCAGCCGCTTCGCGGCATGTGGGATCTTCCCGGCCCAGGGCACGAACCCCTGTCCCCTGCATCGGCAGGCAGACTCTCAACCACTGCGCCACCAGGGAAGCCCGGTGGCTTCTCTTGTTGCAGAGCACAGGCTCTAGGTGCGTGGGCTTCAGTAGTTGCAGCACGTGGGCTCAGTAGTTGTGGCTCACGGGCTATAGAGCACAGGCTCAGTAGTTGTGGCCCACGGGCTTAGTTGCTCCACAGCATGTGGGATCTTCCTGGACCAGGGCTCGAACCTGTGTCCCCTACATTGGCAGGTGGGTTCTTAACCACTGCACCACCAGGGAAGTCCTTGCATGTGATTTTAATGCTATTTAGAGTAGAGAATGATTGATCTTTTCTATTTTCCTTTTTCAGTTTTTATCTAGGAAATATTTTGTGAATTCCTTCTATGCATATGACACTTCTTACTTTTTGTTATTCAGCATAGATTGGAATATATAAACTCCTATCCAGTGTTATGGCTGTTTTACCTATTAACATCATTAAACTTTTTTACGTGGACTAACCTTCACAGGATTAAATAATTAGTATGTTCAATGGTTGTGTTTCTGTCTACTTTTCTATTCCTGAAGCTAAACTTTAAGATACGATTAGTACTACATTAGTAAAAAGTCACTGGAAAGAGAAAATTTTATTTTGTAAGTGTGATACCAATTCACAGATGTTCCTATTTGCTCAAGGTAAGAGACCACATTTTGATGTGTTGCAATTTCTTATCAAAATAAAAGACCTTAATTTAATACCTTTCAGAATGATGAATAAAATGACTGATTGTTCTTTCTGCTGTGGGCAATGTGCTTAGGTCTTTGACAACAAATTACACATATTAGTAACATCTATGTATTTAAAGTATTTAAGCTAATAAGACAGAGGGAAAGGAACCATCTAAAGCAAGGCAAACAATATTTTCTCTCACAAACTCACTTTGTTTGGGATCTTTTAAATATATTATCTCATCTATTCCCACTTTCCAGGTGAGATTCAAGCGATACATGATTTTTCTCTAGATTTTCCAACTAGTAAGTGGTTGAATTAGGATTTAATTATGGATCTGTTTGATTCTAGAGCCCATACTCCCCTTCCCTCCCCCAATATTACATTGCCTTTTTGTCCCTAGAAAATCCAGGAATGTAGATAGATAGATGGTATTTGAAATTATTTATATGTGTTTCTTTTATCTATGATATGATTTAGCCTCTTTTTGCCCCTCCAGGATAATACCCCTCAAGCTGAATGGCCCTCAGCAGATGAATTCACCATGAGCAGTATTTCACCACTTGATTTCAGCTCTGGTCCTCCTTCAACCACTGGCAGGGAACTCTGGTCAGAAAGCCCTTTGGGTGATTTAGTGTCTGCACCCAAATTAGCCTTTCCCTCGAAGGTGAGCCTCAGTTCTTCCCCAGAGATTTTAGAGGTTAGCAGCTTGACTCTTCATTCTGTCACCCCAGCAGTGCTTCAGACTGGCTTGCCTGTGGCTTCTGAAGAAAGGACTTCTGGGTCTCACTCATTAGAAGATGGTAAGGAATTCTAATGACTTTTTGTACTTCTTTATTGTATCAGATGACAAAGGTTTTGAAGAGAGCGAGAGACTAGGGTTAGGAGAAAAGCATGGCAGCATTCATTAGGAGGAAATGTCTTGGGAAAGTTGTGTGAGAAAGGGAACAATCAGCTTTAATTGGTTGGAAGGGAGCATCCAAATAGGTAAATAATTAGAAATGAACTTGTGGGCTGGGCTGGGATCACCTAATAGATATTTTGAAGGTCTTGTTAAAGAATTTATAATTTAATTATATTACTATTTAAGAACTACTCTACTTACTTGAATATTTGAGTGGTAAACAAACAACCTCAAAGAAGATTATTCCAGTATCTTTTAATAGGATTAATTGGGGGCCAGTAGAGATTTTTGGCGTGTATCAGGCTTGAGAAGGAGAAAACCTGAACTAGGGCAGCTACAGCAGAGATTAAGAAATGAAAGTCAAGTAGCTGATTTAGCTGTTGTGGGATGTGACTCAGGGATGGAGTATATGTGAAAGAGGAAGATGAACAAAGATATAAGTAATGAGTCCAGGATTTTGAACATTGGGTGAACCTGAAGGCTGATGGATAATAAACATAATAAGGGGGAGTTCCCTGGTGGTCTAGTGGTTATGACTCAGAACTTTCACTGCTGTGGCCCAGGTTCAATCCCTGGTCGAGGAACTAAGATCCCACAAGCTGCATGGTGCGGCCAAAAATAAAAAAAATAAACATAACAAGGAGATGGAAATTCCTTGGGAATTTTCCTAGGGAATTTTCTTCCTAAGTTTTTACTAGATTCACTCTTTGTTGTCAGTATGGCTACCAGCAGTTCTTTATTTTCAGGGAGTAAAAATAATCACGTGTTTGAAGATGCATTTTTTCAGTACCTGATGTCCTGTTATACTCAGTTAAGGGGGTTATAATCATGAGTGACTGTACCATATCACAAAAACATAATCATACCTTCTTGTTGTTTGCTGGATTTGGCAAAGTAAAAGTCAGCAACTGTCTGTTGTAATCTAATGGGGAAAAATGGGTAGCTGGTTTTATTAGGAGGACTGGGAATATATTTTGGCATCTATGTAGATTAATTCATGGTAAACTCTATTTTTAGGATTAACTAAAGTTAAAGGATCAGAAGATTTTCTTTTTGTTGATCCACTGCCTTCAAGCCCATTTAGTCGTCCTATGCCAAAAGAAATAATACCATCCATGGAAGACTCTGGGGTGTCTTTGACATCCTCACCATATCCGGTCTCCTCTGTCCCATTCGATATTCTTGCTAAAGAAGTAACTACACCTTTTGGCATGGACTCTTTGGCCTCCAAAGTCAAAGGCCAATTAGAAGCGAGCACTTGGATGCCAGACACATCTATGGAGAAAGAGTTCATATTTGAGAGTGGTTTAGGTTCAGGGTCTGGGCAAAAGGTAGGTCTGATTACTTGGCCATGGAGCAAGACTTCATTAGAGAAGAGCACTGAACCATTTTCCAAGTCATGGCTTGAAGTTGAGGATTCAGAGGATTTACTTTTGCCAACTGAGGATACAGATGAGAAACTAGTTATAGATGACAGAATAGATTCCATAGATCAAAGTACTGAGCATTCAAAATATAGGCATTTTGATAGATCCACAAACTTTGCAGAGGATGAGACCCTTGGTGGACCTACTGTGTCCATGTTTGCAGAGACCACAACTCAATCTGCATCTCCAGTTCTATCCAAGCACACATCAGAAGTACCCGACATTGACTATTATTCAATTACCAAATCACCTCCTCTACTGACATCTGCAGCAATCTCTGCTTCTACTGATAAACCAATTCAAGAAGAACCCTTTCTAAAGGAGGATATGGAACAAACTACAGAGTCATCCAACCGTGAATGGTTTGACAGCAAGATTTCAGCAGTGAAGCCAGATGTGCAACCTTTGTGGACCATATTGCCAGAATCAGATGTAGTTTGGGTAAGAACTTCTTCCCTAGAGAAACTGTCCAGAGACACATTGGCAAGTACACCACAGAGTACTGACAAGCTCTGGTTGAAAACTTCCATGAAACAGTCTACCAAATTGCCTTCAACCACAAGTTCCACCCTGCTGGAAGATGAAGTCATTATGGGCGTACAGGATATTTCATCAGAATTGGACCAGATAGGCACAGATTACTATCATCCTGAGCTAATCCCAGAGGAAAATGGCAAGGTTGGTGGTTATGTGGAAATGTCTACAAGTATTCACTCCACAGAGATGGCTATTGTGGCTCAGCCAACAAAAAGTGAAGACTTGGGTCATACCCAAGCCGCAGGAGCTTTGGTGGTTTTCTTCAGCCTCAGAGTGACTAACATGATGTTTTCAGAAGATCTGTTTAATAAAAACTCTTTGGAGTATAAAGCCCTGGAGCAAAGATTCTTAGAACTGGTAAGCATAAGAAGTGAAATACAGGCATTAGTGAATAATCGTGTATGAACCACCCCTCTTTCCCCCCAGAGCATAAGATCTGAGCCAAGGGAAGTGTGGTCTGCTATGGATTTTCATTTCCTATCATCTACAAATACTGTAATGGCCTAGGCTTCATAGGAAAATAATGAGACAGGTGGTTACAAGAAACGGAAAACACAAAATGGTATGAGCCACACTTGGATATTGTATTCTTGGATATTGTAACTTAGATACTGGATATTGTATTATATAATTTCTGGGACCGATACAAGTTTAAGATTTATATTCACATTTTATTGTGAGACCAGTGCTTTGTGGGTACCTGTAATGCCTTCACTGTCACAATCCTTTAGTGAAACAGAATAAACTCTCTGATATCTAAAACTGTCTGTGAGTTCCATGGGGTTCCTAAATAACACTGAAACCTCATGACTCGCAAATAATTCACAATTCATACTTTTGTTGATGAACAGTTTAAATAACGTAAATAGAATACAATTTGGAAAAGTGGAGGGGTTCATCTTTGTTTTCAGTATGTATTGAACAAAATGCAAAACTTTGTCAATAAACTGACCAATTTTTGTGTATTGTAGCTGGTTCCCTATCTCCAGTCAAATCTCACTGGGTTCCAGAATTTAGAAATCCTGAACTTCAGAAATGGCAGTATTGTGGTGAACAGCCGAATGAAGTTCGCCAAGTCTGTCCCTCCTAATGTCACCAATACTGTATACGTGATTCTGGAAGACTTTTGCACCACTGCTTACCAAACCATGAACTTGGCTATTGATAAATACTCCCTCGATGTGGAATCAGGTAATGATATTAAATACTATGGTGGTTTCTTAGTGGAACCTAGTTATTATTCTTGTGTATTTTCTTCTACAATGAGTCAAGATGAATTCAATACTTATAGGTAAAAGAGTACTATGTCTGACAAATTTTCCACGTCTTGATAATTAGTAAAATATCTCTTCCAAGGATGTCAATATCATTCCCTTTTCAAAAGGATTGTCCACACTTGTCTTTACATGTTTACCTCCCATTTCCTTTTCTACCTGCTATATCTGGCTCTCTATTTTACTTATCCATGGATCTGTTCTTATTACATCTCTACGCTGCCAAGCCCAATAGCTTTGGCCTTTCTTGCCTTCTATGTTATTTTCCTACGTTGTTTTATCAATTTCCATTATTGTAAGCCTAATATAAATGTCAGTAACTCTCCACATTTCTATATGCAGATCAGACTTATCTTCTGAGCTCCAGAATCAATATGTAACTATGTACTTGATTATCTCAACTTGGATATATACTATGTATATCAAGCTCAGACTAAGCCCTTAGGCTAAGACTGAGCCCTTGTTTTCCATATCTGCATACCTTCCAACTAAATTTACCTCTCTCAGCTTTACTATCTTGATAAATGGAAGCTGTATCCACTCAGCTACTGAAGCCAGAAACCTGGAAAGTCATTCTGATATCTCAGTTTCCATCACTCCTTTCAGTCACTCACAAACTGACATTGATTCTGAATTCTAAATATATCTCAAATCTATGTGTTTTTCTCTGTCTTCACTTCCCCTACTTTAGGCCAAGCCATCATCATCTCTCATTTGGACCAGTTTCTCTACTACCTCTCTTTTTCCCTCACTCCCATACCTTCCCATTCATTCTCCAGACAGTAGCCAGGGTGCTCTTTCTAAATAATCAGATTATTTCACTTTTCTCCTTGAAATACTTTCAATGCCTGCCTGGTTCAGTAGCCACAAGCCTGGTCCCTATCTTCTTCCCCAGTATCGTCCAATGAAACTAACTTCTTTTCTCACTATGTTCTAGTCAAACTAGCTCGTTTTGGGTTCCTTAGATTTCCAAAACTTATCTTGACTTGAAGCTTTTTGCACATACTGTCTTTTTTGCCTGAATCTCTTTCCCCTCTTGGCTGACTTCTGCTTACCCTTTATGCCTCAGTTCAAATGTCTCTTCCTCAGGACTTTCACTGATTCACCCATAATCTAGGTTGGTTCTTTTCCCTCTGTAGAGTTTATAACTATTGTAATCATGATAACTTATGCACATACTTGCTAAATAGCTATTTTGCCCAGTTGAACTGTCCACAAGGACTGAGACTTTATTTTATTAACCATTTGGTAGCCAAAACCTCGCACAGTGTCTTGCATGTAGAATGTACTCAAAAATATTGTGAATGAGTGAAATGAACCATTGTTTTAATTTGGAAGACTTGGATGCAGAGGGTACTGCTGGATCCTCAAACCTTTGTTCTTTTTTACCTTCTATATACCGGAGGACAGTGGTTTTGAGTAGGAGTAAGGTGGAATGTCTGGGTTTGTATTTCTCCAGTGCTTTTCACTCTCAGACTGGTTTGGAAGCCAGCCCTATTCTTTAAGCGGGAAAGAAGCAAACATTCTTTCCTTTGAAATCCTTGAAGGACCGTTATTCACTGAAAGTGAGGGAAATGATTTAGCTAATCCCCCTATAGCCAAATCTTTTGCCACTTGAGTTCTTTAAGGACATTTGCACATTCTTTGCCATGTGGTGTAGTGGAAGAAGCAATTAATTATAATTTGGAAGGCCTGATTTCTTGCCTCTGCTCTGCCATTTATTATTTGTGTGATCCTAGATGAGCTGTTTTATCTCTGAGCCTTACTCCCTCATATAGCAAATGGGATAATGTTACCTGGCCTTTGTATTTCATGGGGCTATTCTAAGGATTAAACAAATAGCATGTATAAAAACATTTGACTAGCCATACAAATGCAAGCAGTGATGATTATAAAACTTTTGCAAAAGTCTACCCACTTCTTCTTTTTTTTTTTTTTTGTGGTATGCAGGCCTCTCACTGTTGTGGCCTCTCTCGTTGTGGAGCACAGGCTCCGGACGTGCAGGCCCAGTGGCCCTGGCTCACGGGCCCAGCCGCTCCGCGGCACATGGGATCTTCCCAGACTGGGGCACGAACCTGTGTCCCCTGCATTGGCAGGCGGACTCTCATCCACTGCGCCACCATGGAAGCCCTACCCACTTCTTTTTAAAGGGAAGTACATAAATAAGTGCATTTACCTCAGTTTTGTATGTAACTCACATGTCAGCTCTGTGCCAAATCATCCAGGTTTATAGGGTCACCTTGTTCCTTAATATTCAAATGAATTTGCATTAGTCTCTCCCATGTGCAGTGTAAAACTGCATCCATGGCTCTCAACCCCTAATATCTCTAGGAATTATCAGGGAACTTAACTGTCTCTTAATCATCTCCAGCTCTGATTTCCTTCTGCTGAATTTCCAATCTCACATTTGTCTTGACCCTTGTGGTTGTTCTTTATGTTAATCCAACACAGATCATGGTCCCATGTTTTTACTTTCCCAAAGTACCTCTAACACAAGGCAGTTGATTCCATCAGATGTTTGTTGATGATATGAGGGTGATGGAGGAATTTTTATTGTAGCACAGGAGATTACTGTTAGGTGTAAATATCCAAAAATTTCTCAGCCACCCTTTCAAGGGTGTCTTTTAATGGACAATTTTTTCTCCAGGACTAAGTCAGCTACCATGTTACTCTGGCCACTCTGGCTGTATTTCCAGACCTTCTTCACATTTCCTCTACTCTCATTCTCCAGGACCCATCAATCCTTCTCTTAGCCTGTCCCTGGAAAACCAGAGTGTAATTCATTCTACAGTTTAGATCCCTGTCTCCCATCCCAAGATTAGCTCCAAGTCTACCTTTGTTTTCCCATAAAGTCATTAAAGTACTCTTCCAAACAAAGAGCTATCTATTCTGGGCCTCCACCTTTAACCAGCACAAAAGACTAAAAATCAACTTTAAAACTCCAGTCTTTTATTCACATGATTAAAATATTGGTCTTGGTCTCTCTCCGTGATCCGGGATCAAAAGGGAGCAGCATGTATCTTTTTCCTCTTATGGATTCTGTTTTTCCTTTCCCTAGACACTCACCCACACCCATGGAATGGTCACAAAGTTTTAGAATTTTTAAATAGAATTTTCCTATTTCTTGTATATTTTTAGTTAAAAGCCTTCAGATTAAACTATTATTTTATCTGAAGGTTGGCTAAAGATAAGACTGACTTGTCTCTTGCTTAATTTGTTTTAACATGTAGTGTCTCAGAAATTCTTGAATTTCCATCAACAAAGAGGGACTGTGCAATATCATCCTTCCCACCCCCTATATACACTTCTGTACCTCACTGCTAGGCCAGGATTAGATTATTTTCTGATTAAAAAGTCACAGAATGAATACCAGGGTAAGGATGTGAAGACTTAGGAAATACGCAGTCGAATCCTGCTATGTATTTCCCTTGTAGAAACCGCCATCTGTCAGCACATTTGTGTGCTCTTCTTGTTATATGAGCATCTTATTATTGGTCTCCTGTATTAGTTTCCTAGGGCTGCTGTAACAAAGGACCACAAACTGGGTGGCTTCTAACAACAGAAATTTATTCTCTCATAGTTCTGGAGGCTAGAAGTCCAAATCAAGGTGTTGGCAGAGCCGTATTCCCTCTGAAAGCTCTAGGAGAGAATCCTATCTTGCCTCTTCCTAGCTTCTGGTGTTCACCAGCAATCCTTGACACTCCTTGGCTTATAGATGCATCACTCCAATCTCTGCTTCTGTCTTTATATGGCCTTCTTCACTGTGTGTCTGTGTCTCTGTGTCCAAATTTCCCTCTTCTTATAAGGACACCAGGTATTAGACTAGCAGTAACCTAATCCCGTATGACCTCATCTTAACTTGATTACATTTACAAAGACCCTATTTCCGAATAAAGTCATATTCTGAGGTTCTGGGTGGACATGAATTTTGGGAGGATACTATTCAACCCAGTATCTCTCCCCATTCCTACATAGGGCTAAGAAAGATCAGCCGCAGAGATCCTACAAACTCCAAGGCCACAGATTCGTGCAAAATGTCTTTAATTTTCACAGTAGCAAGCAAATCATTGACTCTGAGAGCAATATTAATTTATCTGGAATATCTGGAAACTGAGAGACTATGCTCTTTGTTTTTTAACCTCCCCTTTGTCTTCTGGCTAATTCTTATGCTTTTTCATACAGATGAGTTTATGGGTCATTTACAGTTATTTCCTCTTTTTGTGGTATCTTTGTCACCATTTGCAATTCAGAGATTGTCACTGACCAGTGAAGAACATACAGTGGAACCATGGTAGGATGGAAGGCCCATCCATGGTCAATGTCTTTTATCATTTTTGACTGGTTTGTGTGTCCTAATTAATTTAAGAAAATGTCACTTTCTCTCATCCCATCAATGAAAAATGAAATCACTGAAGCTAAAATACTGTTGGGAATGGCCTGAGGAGGTGCAGGGCTGATTTGTTTTTCTGACATTAGCTTTCACTAATCTCCAATGTTCTTAGGCTGCTCTTATTGGGCTATACGCATCCCTGAGGCTTCCACCAGTTCTTCTCTGGATACTGTCTCTCCATCCATGTTCTCGGTGGGGTGGGCTGGGGGTGGGGCATGTAGCATCATGTGCAGCGTGGAGGAGGATGACAGAAGGATAAGGTTGGTGGAAATGAACGGTACATGAAAACTGTTTAATTTAGATCTAAATTACATGGATTTTAAAGCTTCTACATGCTTCCTACATAAAACAGGTAGAGGCTCACCCAGGTCATTGGGTTTTATGGTTTGGCTCTGAGTTTCAGAGAAATTTGACAAAAGCTCATCAATCAAGGATGAATCAGAAATTTTTTGTGGTGTGGATGGTGGTGTTGTATTTCAGTGATTCAGGAAGGGGATTGGATGTTCCCGGTACTTTGGATGGGGGAGCCGTAGTGGAGGGGTTTCATGTACCCCAATTCCTGTGTTTTGCCTTTCCTTGTATCGTTTTCTGGTTTGCTTGATGTTTTAGGTGATCAAGCCAACCCTTGCAAGTTTCAAGCATGCAATGAATTTTCCGAGTGTTTGGTCAACCCCTGGAGTGGAGAAGCAGAGTGCAGATGCTACCCTGGGTACCTGAGTGTGGAAGAACTGCCCTGTCAGAGTCTCTGTGACCTACAGCCCGACTTCTGCTTGAATGATGGAAAGTGTGACATCATGCCTGGGCATGGGGCCATTTGTAGGTATGCTATAGTTAGAGATTTTGGCTTCACAAGATTAGAGATACTTCCTCTGAAGAAAAGGGATCTGCGCCTATAATGTTAGGACGATCACAGCAATATTTATTATAGAAGTTATATCTAGGAAATAGATGGGTGCCATCGAGTCCTCCTATGAGGACTGAGTCAGTTCATAGGCCTGGATTATACCCAGTTCAGTGGGTTATTTTATCTCATGCTCTTAGGGAGCTGTAAGAAAAACATTGCCTAGTGTCCTACAGAGGGTACTTAGAGTAGTTGGGGATTTTTGTGTTATGGTTCTTAGTGGTGATAACAAGGCAATTGGTGATCAAATTAGGTTTAGGCATATGATCGACACTTTACACTGTATCTGAAACAGAGGAGTTTTATTGTTCTATTTGAATTATGTTCTTAACAGCTTTGGGCTGCTCTTGGTCCTACTGAATATTCAAAAATAAAGAAAAGCAAGTATTTAAAATTGTGACAAATATATTTTAAGTATCTAAGATCTATTTTTTAAAGGTAGAAGCAAAGAAAATGCAGCAGGCAAATGAGCAGATTCAGGTAGCCTTCCCTGGTCACTCGCCTTAAAAAGAGCAGAGCAAATCAACCTCCCAACCACATCCAACCAAAGTCACATGGTGTGAAAGGAGAGAATGCTGAGAATAAGCCAGGGAAACATCAATAAGAGGACAATTTGTGAATTTCAAAAAGGGCAAATGTTGGCATGGATGCCAAAAACAGAAGAAATAGTTGGAAATGACTCACACTTTTCTATGTGTAAAGTTTAGCTAGAAAACTAAGAGGAAAAATAGTCTCTTGATTTCCAGAGAAATGAATATGATTTTGAAAAGCAATGATTGCTGCTCTGGGAATTGAAGATATTTTTGCACAAGTGGGTGGCCTTGTGGTTTGGAGGATCTCTGCAGTGTGATGGAAGGACGTGAGGAGTCTAGGGACCTGGGTTCTAGACCAGCTCTGTTGCTGACTAATTGTGTGATCCAACACCAGTCGTTTTCCTTCCCAGGCCTGTTTTTCATTATCCATAAATAAGGAAGTTGACTTTCTTTAAGTCTAGTCAGTCTTTCATTCAGTCTTTACAAGTAGTCATTGAGGACCTCCTGGGTCTGTGCCAGGTCTCATGCATAGCCTTAAATCTTACCGTTTAACCTCTTTACTGAAGCTTCATGTGGTCAGCATTTATTGCTCTACCTGTTCTCAGTCCCACTGTAGGTTCTGCTGTTACTTGTTACTTTCAGCAGAGTGATTCCATTTTGGGGCTTGGTCACTTCTCGTTCCAGGTGCCGGGTGGGCGAGAACTGGTGGTATCGAGGTGAGCACTGTGAGGAGTTTGTGTCCGAGCCCTTGGTGATAGGCATCACCATCGCCTCCATGGTTGGACTTGTCCTCATTTCTTCTGCTTTCGTCTTCTTCCTCATCAGGACTCTTCAAGCTCGATATGTTAGGAGAGAAAGAGAGAGACCCTTCAGGTAAGTACGGAAAATTGCTCTCTGATAGACTAAAATATTCCTTTTATTCATTCATTTTGTACTTCCTGTGTGCCAAATACTGGAAAGGATCAGCGTGGAGGGGAGAGGGCTATAAAGTTGAATAAAGACAGGGTCCCTGTCCTCAAAGTGTGTCAGATTGGAAACAAACATAAGCAACAGTTTGAACACGCTGCTAGGGTGCCTAGATGAAGAATGAATTTGTTTTGCCTAGGGGAGGACATCTTAGAAGTTTTAATGATGGCTATGGTATTTAGCTGGACCAAAGAGTAGATGTTTGCTGCAGGGGGTGGGTGGGAGACGTTCTAGCTAGTTGCATGAACATTAGCACAGTCGGGGAGGCACGCATGAATCTCACTGCACACTGAAGGTCACGGTGGGGGAGGGGTTGGAAGGGTGATAGAGGTGAGGGGAGGCCCTATGTGAGGACCAGATCTGTTAGTTCCTTCCCCTTTGGCTCATTCCAGTGGTAATTAGCCAGACTTTAAATCTAGATAAGAATCTGACAAGAAATGGAATCTGGTTCTCTTTTTAGTTGAGCATAGCTTCATTAACAAAGGAAATAAAACTGGTTCTACTTGCTAGACTAAGCGATCCAAGGACCTTTTGAGTTGTAATATGATCACAATCCCGGGCTGTACTTTGTTTCTGTGCTTCCAGGTCTGCTTCGGGTCTAGGTTACCTCCCCTCATCCTCTGGCTTAGGCCCAGGAGACACCTCTCCTAGGTTCCTAGAGCACCCAGGACATAATTCCATATTGTTCTTATACTTTGTATTGGGTCTGACTTTGCATTAGACCGCAGTCTCATTCTGGAGAGATTCCAACAATTCTTTGTACCATCAGCATCTAGAATGTTCCTAGGCATATAATCAATGCTCAGCACATATTTGTAGACCTGAAATGAATTTAACTGAAGCCCATTCTCCCCTGTATTTCTATTTCTAGTAGATTCTTTGTGTGGTTTATCTACCCTGGGAATAATGGAGCTGTATTCATTTAATGAAATACTATTGGCAGACACATTTCCCCATCAGCATTTATTGGGTGCCAGGCACTGTGGGGCAAATAAAGATGAAGGAGACTTGGAACAGTTCCACAGGCACTTACCAGATAGTTGAGGAGATAATAATGATAACACGTGGTAAATAATTTTTGAGATTGATCTGGATATTTTTCACAGTCACCTCTCCTCGTCCTCCATTGGTATCCAGTTAGCCTCCTTTTCTTCCTCAACAGAAATCTTTCTCCAGGTTAATAGTCTTCCAAGTAGTTGAGCATCCAACGAAGAACCTGATTCAATCATACTTTTCTTTTTGTGGCTCCAGCAGGCAGCCTGACAGCCTCTCGTCTGTGGAAAGAGCTGTAAAGCACAACCCCGTGTTTGAAAGTCACGGGGCTGATCTCGAGCAGTACGAAGGACCCTACCCTCAGCGGCCCTTCTATAGCTCCACAGGCAGAGAGATGATTGCTGGTCTGAGCAGGGAAGAAATCAGACAAATGTATGAGAACAGTGAGCTTTCCAGAGAGGTAGGAAACTTGGTTTTTCTGTTGCTGCTCTGCTGGGTGTGTGTGTGTGTGTGTGTGTGTGTGTGTGTGTGTGTGTGTGTGTACAGTAGGTTGCAAGAAAGGTTGAAAATTATTTCATGATTAGTTTTTTACCTCATGCTATCTCCCAGTCCATGTGATATGTAGAGGGTATACAATTCTGCGCTGTCCTTATTTCCCACCCAGTGGGTCCTTTATCATTAATAGCAAATGCTCTCTCTCTCCACCCCCCCTCCTTAGAAATATATGTCTGGGTTATTCAGAGCAGTTCATGTAGTAGCCACACCTTCCATTTTTCTGAAAAGGCCATTGTTTTCTATAGCTCTCCCCTGGATAGTTCAGAAAGCCACAATCTCTTATAAAAATTAGACCTCTTTTTTAAAAAGCTGTTAAAGTTTTTCTAATGCAATGTAGAAAAACTTTCTTTTCCTTTTCTTTCTTCTTTTTTTTTTTTAAAGGAAATTCAAGAAAGAATGAGAATTTTGGAACTGTATGCCAGGGATCCTGAGTTTGCAGCTTTTGTGAGAGAACATCAAATGTAAGCGTTAAGTTTGCCTTAGAGTTAGCGCCACAAGCATGAATACTTAATTCCTGTCCCTGTGACATGGGTTTTGTTGGTAACCAATGTTTGTTGAGTTCTTTTCAGTTAATACACATCCACACAGATTACCTCATTTATTCCTCCTAATGCCTTTATAAGTTGAATGTTTCTTATTTAAGTTTTATGAATGAGGAAAGGAAACCTCAAAAAGATGGAGGGACTTACTCAGGATCATGATGACAGCAAATGCCGGAGAAGATTGAAAACAAAGACACTCTGTTCTGGCCTAGAGCTCTCTGGCTCTGTCATATTTTCTTATTAATATAGATGTCACCCATTTGAGTAGCTGTAAATCCTCACATATTTTAACATATACTTCCTTTTCCATCTCTGTAGATACTTTAAAGTATGCTTTGAATGAGACAAATCTCATTAAAGTGTGTCCCTTGCTTTTATTAAGTTCATCTTTTCTTTTTTTTAAAAAAAATTGGGGGGGGCTATAGTTGTTTTGCAATGTTGTGTTAGTTTCTACTGTACAGCGAAGTGAAGTAGAGTTCCCTGTGCTATACAGCAGGTTCATTTTACTTTTCAATCTACCTTTTTCCATTACTTTTTTTAGCATGCATTTTGGGCAAGTGTCTGTAGTTTTTTCCCCCTTGTTCCTCAGGATCCATAACCAGACTTAGGTTACAAGAATACAATAATCTTGTAAAGAGAACATTTATAGATGTTACTTGAGTGTAGTGGGTGGGATTATAATTTGGCTTTGATATTTGGTCCTACAGCTGCCCTCACAAAGGTGCTTCCTCATGGATGGGTCTCACCCAGGCCAGGTGATGGCACCAGGTTTTTAGAAGAGAAAAACCAGAGCAATTCATGCCTGCTTATAGCAGAAATTGATAAAGGGTCAGGATAACACATGTGGTTCTGATTGGAGCCTCTGCCCCTTTGTTCCAAATCCCCTTTCTCTGATAGGCAGCCCCTCATGCATGGTTCCTCTGATAGGAAGGGACAAATTAACATCAAAGGAAACTAAAGAAGACGCTTTTCTAATTCCATTTGCATGGTAGAGACTCCTTTAAACATCTGACTTATTAGCCCATGGGAGTTGCTGCCAACCTTGCTTGAATGCTATCAGAGCAATATTACTGGGACTCTGCCTTTTAGACCAGGATACCTGCTTATCTCGGCATCTCTAGCCAGCAGATGGCCTATGGCTCCACTTCCGTGGTATCCAATAGAAAGAACGTGACTGATGTTTTTTATCTTTCCTAAGCCCCTCAGAGCCATCTGTGTTCCATGAATTACAAATGCATCTCATCTAGGCTAAGAAATCCAAAGAAAGGATCCAGGAGAGCCTAATTAGGGACAGACAGATGGACTACATGTTTCACTTTCTTCTGGTAAACTGTTTGGCATTAAAATTATTTAAAAATTCATGTAACAAAGAAGATTTAAACAAGAAAATCCAGTGAAACAAAAGAATGTTCACACAGACACTATAAGGGGGTTGTTCACAGTGGGAAGAAGGCATTGAAAAAATGTTAGGTACATAATCCATACAACATTTTCAGTTTTCACATAGTCCGGAGTTTTCATCTACCAGTAGCTCAAGAAAATATTAATGGGCTTGATTTAGGATTCAGTAAAAGTATTACATAGTCTCTGTAGATTGGATTCTTTTTTTTTAACTTAGCAAAGCACAGCACAGCTTTCCTGCAAAGAAAGAAGGTATTGGTGATTTTAGGACTATAGCTTGATGATATATTACAACAAAAGTGCATTTCAGTACATTCTGGATTTTTTCCAATTAATTGCTCTTTGTTTTTTTCATGGCAGGGAAGAGCTTTAACCAAAACTCCTATTTTGCAACTGATTAGAAGCCTAGAGAAGATGGAGATCACTCATTACCTACGTCATATAATTAACTTGGGTTTGGAACTCTGTTAGAAGAAGCGTTTTCTATCAAAAAAATTAAATTTGGGACACAAATATTTTTTTCTAGTTTAAAATTTTAGAATATAGTAAGAGATGTGATGGTTTTTATACCCACAAAGACCAAAAGCTGTACTTAAAGGGAATCAAAACTGTATGGGGCTTCCCTGGTGGCACAGTGATTAAGAATCCACCTGTCAATGCAGGGGACATGGATTCAAGTCCTGGTCTGGGAAGATCCCACATGCTGCGGAGCAATGAAGCCCGTACACCACAACTACTGAGCCTGCTCTCTAGAACCCGCAAGCCACAACTACTGAGCCCATGTGCCACAACTACTGAAGCCTGTGCACCTAGAGCCCATGCTCCGCAACAAGAGAAGCCACCGCAATGAGAAGCCCGCGCACCGCAATGAAGAGTAGCCCCCATTCGCCGCAACTGGAGAAAGCCCACGCACAGCAACAAAGACCAATGAAGCCAAAAATAAATAAATAAATAAATAAATATGTTTTAAGGGTATTTGTTCACATTTATGTGCCCTAAAGTCCCATTTACTTTACATAATAAAACAAGTGCAGGTTTTACATGATTTTATTCCCACCTCTTCTTTTTTTTTTTCTGCAGTATCTGGTCATTATGGCTTGGCTGCTCCCCTCCCCCTGCCTTTTACCACATAGTAAATTTTAATATAGTTGAACGACGCTGACTTAATATTACTTCTGACAAAAAGATGTAAATTGCATAAATATTCTTTGTAGGCTCTCAAACCATGTTGGCTCAAATACGATACCTGATTTAGTTATTTACTTGCATGCTTGTTTTATAAGTTTGCCTTCTTCCATTTCATGAGTTTTAGGCAGCTGGTATCTTTGTGTCGTTTCCATGTTTTCAATAATGGATACTTTGACATCTATCAGCCCGTGAGTTGAATTTTCATTTTGAAATGGGAAAAGAAGGTAACATATTTACTCCATAAGAAAACTGCTGATTTAGGAGAATAACTTATCTTTATTAAATTGAGATATTTTAGCCAAGAAAAATATGGGTCTTTTTTTTTTTTTCTCTTAAGATGTTTGTAACAATTCCCAGTAGGATGGGTGGGGCCGGCCTTTCAGATTTACAATCCAGCTGCAGTGAGTTATGCATCCTAGCTCATTCTATTCCCAAGCGTGCAATGAATGCAGAAAAATGGTGTGAAGGTCCCAATCCTAAAATCAGTTGCATTGTGTTCCACAGAAGATCCTGGCTGGAGGTGGGAAGGTGGGAGGGTACTAGAAAGTAATTGAAGTAACGAATCTACCTAGAAATTTCCTTGAGTCATGCATTTTGTAAAACCTTATACTATCCCTATGAGTTAACAAGATACAGGTTAAATCACTCCCCTCGGGGTAATAAGACACAAGTTAGAACACACAATTTGTAGCTACAGCCAGGTTTAAATGATTCCTTATCCTGACTTTTTTTTCTTCACATATATAATTGCTTCTTTAGTGATTAAGGGAATAAATAGGAAAAATGTAACCATGATATCAGAGAATAAAGGTATAAGTATTTATGTATTCAGACTGTGTGATGATTCTGAAGTGACCATAATATATGTTCAATGTGGAGTATGGATAATGAAGGATTTTTCTTTTTCATCTTGTTTATAATGACACTGTACATAAAGTATGGGTCAGATAAGCTCATGTTACTGTACTGTTTGCTTGAAATGCTCTAGTCTTAATACTAGCTAATTAGAAATAAAAATTTAACAGTCTTTATGTATATGAAAGGTTTTTTTCTCATGTATATAACTGTGCCATTTTCATTATTAATAAACTTCTCTTTCAAGAATTTCCCTACATTCTTTTTGTCAATTAGAATAAAACATTGTAGATTGTAGCAGTAGTTCAGTTGTAATTACCACTCAAAGATACATCTACCCAATGTGAGCATGGTGTGGGAAAGATAATCATTCTTTGATTAACCTTTGTGTAGTGAGGATCTTGGAGAATTGGAGACAAACCCAGAGCCCGATTGTTGCCCCCAATTTTGTTGATAGCTAATAATGCTGAGTTATTATTTGGCCTCGCTTGAACTTTAGTCTTTTAAAGTCTTAGAAACTTTCATTTTTTCCTCATTTGCTTAAGGCAGGGGTGGAAGGAAAGCTGGATGGAGTTGATTAAAGAAAGATTAGGGGTGAGTAGCTAGCACCAGCTGTCTTGTAACAAGAGATGGAATTGGTGTCCTGTCTTAAAAGAGAACAAGAAGACATAAACGTGGTATAACAGCAGTATGATGCAAGTTTGCATGGGAAGGTCAGCTACCACTTACTTAAGCATCAGCATCAGCAACCTCAACTTTATGTTTTTTTTCCCCTACGTTTGCATGTTGTTTTGCTGGCAAGAGGCCGTGAGGAAGTCCTAAATGAGTCTTAGGAAAGAGAAGGATGGTCTTGATTTGACTCTAAAGACTGTATTAAAAAAACACAAAGTTGGAGAAATGTGTCCAATAAATGCCTATTGATAGATTAATTAGTGACCTAATTTTAGAAGAAACAGTGAGTAATAACCCTGTTTTTAATAAGTCTGGTCAGGACAAGCCTGAGTTACTCTTAGGTCATGTGTTCACCATGCAGGTCCACTTTCTAGGTTCTTTGGAATGTATGTCTCTTCTGAGCTAGTCCTTGATGGACTGTGTCCCATGACGTTTAAGTTATCCTCTCACCAAAACACACACATATCTTGTGTTCCACTTTTTTTGTCTGTACAAATGAATCCATGCTAATATAATAATCAATATTAAGGAATCATGCTTTTCCAAGTAATATGAATATTGTATGTAGGATTTCTGGGAGTAATTTATTATTCCAAATGAATAACTCTGGCAGTATTGCACTCACCATGGCAGGTTTGGGGAAGAATCTGCATATTTTAAGCAGGTGGGCCTTTGAAGAAACCTCCAAACCCGCCCCCCTGTATTTTATGCCTTTTTCTGTACCATTTATGTGCTTCCACTCCACTATTCACCAAGGCTGTGTTGTAATTTTTTTTTTATGTCATTGACCTCCCACTAAACTGAATT